ACTCCCTCTCCCTCTCTCTCTGTCATTCCCTCTCCCTCTCCCTCTCTTACTGCTTTCCACTCTCCCTAAAAAACAATGAACAAATATCTTCCAGTGAGGATTAACAACAACAACAACAAAAGAAAAAGGAAAAGAGGAGGACAAATACCAAACATCTGCTTGCTTAAGACAACCACCAGGTCCTTTAGGGGGAAGCACGTGACCAGACACTCCCAGAGCACACACTTTTTCCATTGGAATCTCCCAGGAGAGGATGTGGACAACTCCTAATCGCGCTTTCTTTTCCTGGATTTGAGAAGTCTTTGGGCCAGAGGAGAGGCAAGGAGGCTTACAAGGCCATGAGAGCAATTGGAAAGCTTTAAGCCAAGATCCAGAAAGGAACATGAAACCCAGAGAGGAAAGGGAAACACAGAAGAGTGAAAGAAGTGAGGCGGACAGGGGGCAGGAGACAGGAGATCTGCTGGGCCCAGAGCTTTATGGAAACAGGTACAGAATTTTGCAAGGATTAATTTCACCAAAGAATGCACAGAAGGGCATAAGCCATTTTCTCAAGGGATGTTACCACTTTGATTCCAACTATTAGCATCACCATGGTTCTGGCCCTTAGCAATGCTTCTTTCTTCTTTAGCATCTCATTAGCCCTCAGCAGGTTAAACAGACGCAGCCCAGCTCTGTCCTGGAGACTCAGGAACCCTGAGTGTGGGTGGGTGAGGGCGTCAGCACTTTGAACCAGCACCTTCGGTGACTCTGAGGCACTAAAGTTTGAGAATGCTGGCTGTTGATGTCCCTGGATGAACAAAATGGGAGCCCATTATAGGAAATACACACAGCATAGAAATACAAGCAGTGTAAAATATGATTCTGTGATGATATCATCATTCTGTTCTAGCCCTCAAATTAGAACCTATTTCAGTCTCCTTCCAGGCTTCTTCCTTCACCTGTTCTAGCCCACAACCCTCTTCTCCCACCCCCAGGCTGCTCTTAGGGCCCCTTTGTGTTATCCCCAGCACAAACATCTCATAATCCCTGCAACTGATGACATTTTATGGTCAAAGGTCTTGGGGAGTGGAAAGTTCCAGTCAGTTTCGGTTTCCTATCAGAAGCAGCTTTCTCAGCAGCAAGTTGCCAGAAAATTGCTAACAATGAATGACCTGCCCTAGCAGCTCTATGGCATGATATCGTCTCTTTGCAGGGAGACTCATCCCCTCCACACCAGGAAATGGACTCAGCAGGTGCAGGCTCGTCGTGTAACAGGATTTTAGTCATATAATTCACATAATCAGGCTGAGCCCACCAGCATTTCTCTGCAGAAATTACTGTAGAGCAACCTGAACTATTGAGAAGCTGCATCTTGCTTTTATATAGTTCATCGAATTTCTGAAAAGTTGAGTGTAAATTGACTCGGAAGATTTTTGGATGTGAACATTTATTATCCTCTCTGGTCATAATTTGACTCCTGATTATTGTTAGTCTCTTTGGGATAAGGAAACCCATTAATAAAAGTAAACATAAATGGTTTGAGATTAGTGCAGAAAGGACATAGGTCAAGGTGGCTGGACATCAGAGATTCAGCTTTATTCCTCCCAGATTCAGCTTTTCCTTGTTGGGGAGTTACTGATCTTGCTACCCTCTGTCCTCTTGAAGTAGTGATGCCCAGGCATATTGCACATAGAACAGGATGGCACATTTGGATAGAGTCTGAGACCCGGTCATGTGCCCTGACCTGGAATCGAACTGTGACCTCTTGGTTTATAGTTTGAAGCTCAACCATTGAGCACACCAGCTGAGCCAGGCTGACATTTTTATTTTATAATTTAATTTGTTTAGTTTATTCTCACACAAGGATATGTTTTCCATTAATTGGAAGGGATAGGGGGAAAAGGGAGAGAGAGAAAAAGAAACATTGATGTGAGAGAGACACATCAATTGGTTTCCTCCTGCACTTGCCCTGATTGGGGCAGGGGGTGGAACCTGCAACCCAGGAATGTGCCCTTGACCAGGAATAAAACCCCTGGCCCTTCCATGGGACTGTCGACACTCTTACCATTGAGCAACACCAGCCAGGGCCAGGCTGGCACATTTAAATGCATGGCCCTAGTCAGTCCCTGGTTCCATCGATTCCCATCAAGGGCACATGCCCGGGTTGCAGGCTCCATCCCCAGTAGGGAGCGTGCAGGAGGCAGCTGATCAATAATTCTCTTTCCTCTTTGATGTTTCTCTCTCTCTCTTTCTTTCTCTCTCTCTCTCTCTCTCTCTCTCTCTCTCTCTCTCCCTCCCTCCCTCTCTCTCTTTGCCTCCCTCTCCCTTCCTCTCTTATATCAATAAAAATAAATAAATAAATAAATAAATACCCAGATAGGACTCTACCAAAGTCTAGGGAATAATAAAAGGACGGTATCACAGAGGTCCATAGACAACCTGACTTACAAAACTTAGCTTCCTCTCTGGCACTGGGTTCCTATCCAGCCCTTACTGAAGCTTAGGGCAGCCACTTAGGAGTCTCTGTGAAGAAATCTTTCCTCCCATCAAGAGTGAAATTTGAGTCTTATATTGTTTCTGGGGGTCTGTTTCATTCTATTGGCATCCTACCCTTCCATGAATGGTTGAGGTGGGAAAGCTACTTAAGCCCCTCCTTTTGAAAGATTCCTATCTATGTCCTTAGCCTCATCACACCAACCATATCAGAATACAACATGGTAACCCAGCATTCATGGCAGGGCTACAACAGTGAAGAGCAGGGAACTCTCAAAGTTTCCCCTTCATCCTGAAATATTTGTACCATCTGACTATGTCGATCACATCTCCTCATCTAAACTCACTCCCTATTCTCCACACTCTGAGATACACTAACTTTGCCTTTCTTTCTCTGCCTGCCTCTTATAATTATAACTTACATTTGCATACCTCTTGTCTGTGTTACAAAAGTCATTCACAGAACACTGGTTTGACTGAGAAAACAGATTTAAGAAAAGTTAAGATAGTTTCTCAATGTCACTCATCTAGAGTTAGAATTCTAATCCAGGTTTTTTGAATGCTTATGTTCACTGTTCAGTTTTTTTCACTACAGCCCAGCTGCCTGATGTGCTATTTTCTTTTTAAATCTCTCCATCCATTTTTCCTTTTCCTTTTACTATCAGATGTGAGGCTTTTATCTTCACAAGTTAAAGAATTAATGAAAAACTTATTAACCAGGCTCCTGGCCATTCTGCTCCTGGTTACCCGAGTCACCTTCCTAAAACATGGCTTTTATCATGCCATGTCCCAGCACCCAATGTTCACGGGCTCACTGTGACGGATGCTTTAATTATTTCATTTACTGTACAATAAATATTGCTCCCTTTCTGAGTGCCCACTGAGCATTAGGTACTATACTAAATTCTTTATGTTTCTTCAATTTAATCCACGTAACACCCATATAATACAATCTTTATTAATTGCTTACTATAAAAGAAGACTGAGGCTTTGGGAATACTTAGGTTAAAAAAATAAGTTTAAAGACAGAATTCAAATCCATATCAGCTTGCTAAACTTTTCCTTTTTTTTTTTTTAACCACGTAAGGTCTCTCTTGGGGAAATGGCTGAGTAATTGATTGATGATGACAAAGGCTTTGGAAATATGCAATAATTTTGTGAATAAAGATTGCTTGATGGTTCTCCTTCTCCTCCTTCTTTTTTGATGTTTCAGTTCGGCAGAACGTTCTGGAGAGAGGGAACCATGAGTTAGCATTGCCAGGAAAAGGAACATTTAAGTTAATAGTCAAGTTGCCTCCAGACCCGAATGAAGTCCATGATGCCTCTAAAGAGAAAATTTCAGCAAAGGTAAGTAAAGGAGCGAGTAGCCAGGAAGTAGGGTGTTCTTCCAAGGTGTGTGGGATGGGAAGCACAATGAGGAACACCTAGTGGAACAAAAAATATAAATCAAACTTCAGTGAGAAATGCAACTTACAGATGTGGTGGGACAGGTATGGAATAATGAAGAGGAGGCACGTTTTGTTTGATGTTAGACACTTTTAGAAAAGTCAAGATTTGGGGGTTATAATAAGGGAGGTTTGAGATATAAAATTTTGGGTTGCTGTTAACCTGGAATTTGCTGTATTTGTTTTTGTTTTACTTTTACATTGTTTTGAGGAGGGAGTGATCCATACTGCATGTACTAAGTACTTCATAAAATGGTATAGTAATAGTATCTACCTTGTTGGTTTGTTGGATTGTTGTGAGGGTTGGTTGAGACAACCTGTGTAAAGCAAATGGTACAGTGTTCATAGCAAAGACTCACTAAATGCTAAATGGGGAAAAGATGCAGATCTATCCCCTTGCCCCAGATACTTGTTAATCACTGGGGTTTCTGTTATCTGTGACTAGTTTTTGCCAGTAATTTTTGTTCTGATTAACTGGAGGTGCCACTACACATGGGGAGCATTCAAAACATTATTGCTGGAGTTTTTCATGATTGTGTCTGCTGACCTTATATCTCCAGGCTGGTCTCAGGCACATTTTCTTAATGTAAAGAAATTTGAATTATTGGCAATTTATTAATGCTACTTTATTGTCTGAATTTCAGGAATCCAAGACCAAAGAACCAGGTAAGGTCTCAATTGAGATGACTGGCCTTCACGAGGCAGTTTTGCTTTGATTAAAGATAGAACTTGTAGACATACATCATCCTTACCTTCTTTACTTCACAAGGCATGTTTTTCTCAGCTTGGCAATGCCGTGGGCTCATCCTCTTTATACTCTCAGCCAGCTGTTCAGAGGGTGAACATTGGGGCAGCCACTTGAGCTCTAAGGTCTCAGGTCAGAAGGATGAAAACAGCTCTCGCTGTGGGGACTGGGAGACACCTTGCAGTTGAGCAGAGGGCTGAGAGGGCCTGGAGGAAGGTGATGAACTGACCTTTAGAGCTCACTTGTGACCAAGCTGCCATGGAGAAGCAAGGCGTATCAGAGGGTGCTGGGTGTGGCTAAGTCAGTTTCTGAGCACTGGGTGTGGGAAGTGCTGTCCTCAGAAGCCACTACAGGAAGGTGTGGGTCCTCTATGGATGAAAGCTTGAGTGCTGGGTGCAGGATGGGGTGCAACCCTCCAGAGCAGCAGCAGCCTCTCCTCTCCTCCATCTGCTGTAAGATAGAGCCCAACACCTAGTGACTGTTGTGGAGTCTGTTGCTTAACTAGTGTTTGGGTGTTAGCCTGTAGCACCTGACATTTACTAAAGAAGCCAGTACTCTCTACCCCACTTTTCTGGGCTAAGCATGGTGTTATAAAGGGGAAGAAATGGTGAAATGTGTTGAATGGCTGAGCAAGAGAGATAAAGTGATACGTATTCAGATCTTAGGGAAAAGAAAATTCCAAAAAATATGTAAATATTTTCTTCTAAAGTAGAAATTGTATTGAGAACATGTTTAGATTTTTGCAACTTTCTTTTTTTGAATGTGGCACTAGGATGAGAGCTTGGGGTCATTGTCAGGGCCTTGGGTCCATTGTCAGAAATCTAGTAATTCATTAGAATAGTGATCAAAATGAGGATGGAGGGTGGTTACCTAATAGGTCCCATATCTAAGGGATGAGGAGAGCAGAGGACACAGCACCATGAAGGCACTAGGCATGCCTGAAACCCATAGCTTTAGGTTAAAGATTGACAGGCAGTGACAGAGCAGGGAAAGGCGCACACCAATATCAGGGGGTATGAGCACTAAGCCAGTATCTGGTTTTAGATCAAGCTGAACTGGGTTGGGCCTCAAATGTGGAAACCAGCAAGTGGAAGAACTAGGAGAACGAACAAGAGCAGAGAAATTCTGGTCACTTGTGGTCAGAAAATTCTCTTTATTTTGAGTCTATATTTCAAGCCTGGACCCTCTTCTAAATCCCAGAGCTGTGTCTGACCTTTCTGTTGAAAAATATGTTAGTGCCAATGTGTCTGAAGCCACGTGTGTCATCTGCCTCCAAACTAGTGCCCTCTTCTGTCTTTTTTATTTCTCTTCAAGTGCATAACCAGTTTGCCCATCACCTACTAGAAATTTGTCTTTCCTTTACATTTTACATATGTTGGTCTCATTCATTCCTCCATTACCCCAGGCCCCCATTATCACTTTACAAATCCAGCATGGCAGGAATACCCTGCTTGGCCTATCTCAGTGGTCGGCAAACTCATTAGTCAACAGAGCAAAATATCAACAGTACAATGATTGAAATTTCTTTTGAGAGCCAAATGTTTAAAACTTAAACTATATAGGTAGGTACATTGTTATAAACTTAATTAGGGTACTCCTAAGGCTTTAGAAGAGCCACACTCAAGGGGCCAAAGAACCGCAGATGGCTTGCAACCCGCAGTTTGCCAACCAAGGGTCTATCTGTACCTGCTTTCCTTCTCCTTAAAACTACCCCATCTTAAGAAGAAGAAATAAAAGGCATCCAAATTGG